TTTTATAATTATATTGCTTAATACTCACTTTACAGTAATTCACAAACCTAAATCGTGCCTTACAGACAACCAAGCCATGTTCATCATCAGGCCCTTTCAGGTAACATCAACTGAAAACTGTTATACACTGTTACAGTTGTAATATTTCCTAAAGGAAAAATTAAGCTATATTCTTCCTGTCCTCCCCTCCCTCCCCAAATGACAATTAAGAACTCAGTTAAATGATAGCCATGGCTAGGGTGGAGTGTTACAGAACTGCACATCTTTTTTCATGGTTACATGTATGAATGAATTGTGTATATTTGTAACTTAATCAGAGATTCCCTATAATATATTCTTTTGAGATTTTTACTTAAGGATTGAGATTCATGGCTTCGAAGTCCTGATTGTACAACTCTACAGGAAACTTTTGATAACTGCTATTAATAGTGCATGAATATATGTGACATAAAATAAATGATTTGCTTAATTGATTGTCTTCGTGGCTATTAAGTTAATGTAGAACAATTTTGTATTCAAAATTCTTTACCTGGTCCAATTCTTTAATGAGAAAATTTGTTTTTGAAGTAGCATGCAAAACAAAGCAATTCTAAAGCCTGCTAAGTCTGGTAATACAGTACAGTACCTAAATTAAGAGGTTCTCATTGTCACTCATTTAGGGTTTGAGAAAGACCAAGGAGGAACACAGTGTTTAAGAGATTTTTTTTTCATGTGTAGCAACATTATCTTTCTTTTTTGCCCTGACTGACACAGAGTTGTGAATGCTTGAAAAGTCAACCTCCGATCTGTAGGAAGAAAAGTAGTTTAGAAATTCAGCTTCTCAGTCTCCTCTTGAAATTTGGTGGCTTCAAAGAGTCTGCCATCAGCATATCTGTTCTGACTGAAATGGAAGGTAAAATTAAAGTCCCTGTTAATTCTTTGAAGCTAATCACGCTTCACACTAAGAAAGGCTTCCTCAAAAGCTCTGTGTAAAGATCTAGGACTATGATGAGGAATAAGATGTAACTTAGTCTCCAGCAGTGACCAGCAACCACACTGCTCTTTACCCTCTTATTCCCTCCCAGTAAGCCTACCCTCTTAGGCTTACTGCTGTGCCCCTTTTCCATGCCCAGTCTTGACATTGTCTTTGATATGTCTGCTGGTATGGGTCATTTGCAGATGAGGTTGTGGTTTCAAAGATCAAAGGAACACTGAACACTGGTCAGAAGAGATACAATTAAAGGAGGAACTTCTTTCACTGAATTGTTCCTGAATCCAGGTTGTCGTTAACTAATGGGCAAACTTATTTGCGGAGACGTTTCATAAGCAAAGCTTTATTGCAAGGCATGTGGTCCAGCTATCTTGTCTACAGCAACTGCTGCCCCCAGCACAAACATCCCACCTCATTCTCCATCTGCACTGCCAAAGCTATGTGTCTTGATGACAGGCATGTTGTATTTTGCCATGTTTGAAGTCATGAATGCTGTGAAACTGTGAACTACTGTATGTCACAAGATGGCAAGAAAAGCAAGAAAACCACGTTTCTGACTGTGGGCAGCTGCTGTGTGAAATTCTTCCACCATCAGAATCAACTGTTCCTTCAGTAGCTTGGACTAGCTTATTTTGGTGTGACTGCTCGTGCTTGGCCTCCTAGCTTGTCCTTGTGCTTATCCTAACTGAGCCTTCTGCTCCTAACTTACCTTGGTGTTTCTGTTGGGTTTAATTTCCCCACAGATACAAGTCTTACTGGACTACAGAATTGTGCTCCTGAACTTAAATAAAAGCAACTTAAATTTAAAAGAAACAAACAAAAAACACTCCAAAGGATAAAGAGCTCACGGAAGAGTGGCTGGAAGCTTGGTGAGACTTACCCAATTTGGAGGACTTGGGATCAGAGATGTGTCTTGCTAAGTTGTTTATCTACCTCCCAGTGCAGTGATCTAGTGTGTGGCCTGAAATTTATGTCTAGTCTAAACAAGGCAGTCTGGACTGCCAGCTGAGTTGATACTGAGTTTTTGACTCCACCCTTGTTTTGCAGGGCAAATTTAGCCAGGGATAAAAAGCAGAAATACATTTTCCTGGGTAGCACAGGATTGAGCAAGGAGCTTCTTCACTGGCTCTGAGAAGAGTTTCAAAGCTGGCATATATCATAGAATGGTTTGGGTTGGAAGGGACCTCAAAGATCATCTAGTTCCAACCCCCCTGCTGTGGGCAGGGACACCCTCCACTAGACCAGGTTGCCCAAAGCCCCATCCAACCTGGACTTGAACACTTCCAGAGAAGGGGCATCCACAGCTTCTCTGGGCAACCTGTGCCAGTACCTCACCACTCTCACAGTAGAGAATTTCTTTCTAACATCTAATCTAAATTGACCCTCCTTCAGCTTAAACCCATTCCCCCTTGTCCTGTCACTACACTCCATATCATTTAATATTTCATGACTCATCATGAATACAAACATTAGCCTTAATGAAATTGTCTCCTGTATTTTTAATTAGCTTACTATCTGTCTCAAATCACTCTTGTACTTAAACAATGGATTGGTACTAAAAAAAAATAATATTGTTTGAATGTGTTTTTATAGTAGGATTATATGCACTTACTTTTACAAGTACAGCTCTGTGAAGATGAGATCTAATTCCTAGTTCTCTTACTTATAACCTGTAGTAAGCTTAAGCATACAAGTGAAAGCTTATATGGAAAAAAAGTTGTACTGGTGGGTATGGATCAGATTTTTAAAAGAGCTCAGCAGGCAACAGCTCTATTTCAGCATTATAGTGAAATGGCTAATTTTTCAGAATTGGTTCCTATAAGTTTCCTTTAAAAATATCTGATTCTTGTAGAGAAAATCCTGCCCTATAGCAGTATTTCAGGAGTAGTGTGTGATTAAAGACACTATATTACAGTGTTTACCCAAGCAAGCACGTCAGAAGCATATTCTCGCTAAGTGGCTGTGAAAAGTGATATTGTTGATATGTACTTGCCTTTTGAATGCTATATCAATTTGTTCAGTTAGCAGATTAATTTTTATATTCTGAATACAAATTCAGTCTTGTTACCAAGGCTTTTCATTTCTTTCACAGATCTAATTAAATGTAGCTGAAGGATGTACATAAAAGCTGTTTTGGGGGACAAATTGTTAATGGTGGTAGTATACGAGTAAAAAAAGTCTGATTGCACTATGTATCAGCAACAAACTAATAGGAAACAAAGCCTTAAAACACAGCAAATACAAAACCTGCAGTGAAATTAACAGGATGTACCTGTATAAAAATACATACAAAATTTTTTTGGAACTTGTTTTATACAAACTGTATCTTTTCTAAGCAAATCATTAGGTGTTTATGTTTAGCTCAATCCTCCTGTGCTGTTCTAAGGAAGGAAGAACAAGAGTGTTTTATGAATGGAAGACACACATTTTAATTTTTAATTTTTTTTTTAGTAAATAATGTTGACAGCAGTGAGCCACATAGTGTGGAATCAGTCTGGACTGCTTGCTTGGCAGGGCCAGGATGGTCAACTATTGGAATACTAGCTCTGGGCTTATTGGTACACTGAGTTCAGTTCCCCGTTCATTTCAGATATTTCCCATATGGTCCTCTATGAGTCTTAAGCTCAGGATCTCAGTGTCTTAGGCACTCAATTCTGCCTGAAGTGCACAGATTTGAAGTATACCTAATATGTATCGACTCAAACCCCATTATTAAAAATGTCTTTTTTCCCTAACCTTTCCTCCCCCCCCCGCCCCTCTTAAGAAAGGAGATTCTTGCTTGATTTTTTGGAGGAGTGGTGCAGATGCCCAACTTCTGGGGCTTAAAAGCTGTGGGGTCACAGTGGCATTAGGAATTTCTTTGTGTGAACTTACATATCTGTATCCTGCCTGTGTCTGTGTCCATTGTCTTGCGCCTAGTCGTTCTTCATAGGTAGAGTGGAGAGCCCACTTTGTGTGCTGGCTGTTGTTAATCTCATTCTGATACACCTTATTTTCTCTGATCAACTGTACTGGCTTCTCTTTCCACTTCAGAACACAAATAGTCACACACTATTTCAACTACATATTGCTTTTCTACTCCTATCCCATCGGTTACTGTTTGTAACCTCTGAGGCACTATGCAGCATTAATTTCTTATTTTTTGTCACATGCTTCAGTTAGTCCTGGTTTTGTGTTTCTTCCTGCTTTCTGATTGAGGTGATTCTGAAGATTACATCATGATACTGAAATGGATTCAAGACAAGTAATGGAGTCTTTGTTACAAGGCCAGCTTTTTCTCAGATTCTCCCATACCAGCCTACTTGACTAGGTCATTTTTGAGGCTTCCAGTATTACTTAGATGACAATGACTTTCATAAATTTTTATAAACTAACTTACAGTGGTCTCCTGCAAAAACTTCAGGAATTTCTGTGTATGTTGAATGAACACTTAATAGACAGTAGTTATTCCTCTGGTACTATTGCCAAATGTAGAAGCCAACAGGAAGGAAGAAGGGAATGTAAAAATTTGGGGACTGTAACTGTAAAAGTAGTAATTAAATAAACTAAAAGATAAATTGAGATGGTAATATTTTCAAAAATGTACTGTAGATGTGGACTGTGAATGGCTGATGTTCTTTATATATACAAAGTTCAAAATGGGATGATTATAGTATTTTTGTGCTAAGTGCTTGAACAACTTTTACTAGAATACATACGTTAAATTTTGGTAAACAATTCAAAACATCTTTGGTTCAAATAGACATTAGAGACTTAATGCTAAAAGCATCAGAAAATATTCTCGACATACTGCTTATCAAGCTTCCATTGATTACTTTTGTGGGTAGTTTTTTCCTTCCTCCTTAAGAGCTGAGGGAGAACTAACAACTTTTGAGGTACTGGAAAGAGAAAGTGGTAGCTGAGCGATGGACTTTTGAAACTTAAGTAAAATTTGGAGAAGATGAGTCGGTGTTAGTAACTTGGAATATCTAGAGGTATGTTGTGGAAACTTGTAACAATTATTTTTATTGTGTGTGTCCGTGCATTGAAGGTATCCTGAATTAGCAGCTGTGTGCAGAAATCCCAATACTCTAATTTTGTATCCTGGAGCTGAAGCTACCAATTTGGAAGAAGTTGCTGTGATGTCTTCTAGACCATCTGTTATGATCATCATTGATGGAACGTGGAGTCAGGCTAAAGATATATTTTATAAAAATCCTCTCTTCCGGCTTCCCAAGCAGGTGAGTTATAACATGTAAAATAAAAATTTTAAGTGTGTCTAGTAGATGCTTCCTTTCTAACCAGCCACAAGGGAGTGTTTTTGTGAGGATAAAAATCATGGAAATCTTTTTTCCTTCTGATCTGTAACCAGGTGACAAGATAAGGAAAAGTTGAACAATTAAATAAAACAACCTATAAGATTGTGAGAAAGATGACTGTGAATATTGGGGGTTTTCACTTTATCACTTGAACTTTGTTTTTGTTTTGAGTTAATGCATTTAACTTCATAGTGAATCATTGTTTTACAAAATTGAAAACTGGTTAGTGTAGAAAACTTTTGCCTGTTGCCTAAGAAGTTAGAACATATACAATGAAATAAACTTTTTTTTTCCCTGCTTAAGTATTTTGCATTGCAGTAATAGGAAAGCTGGAAGTAGAATTTTGTAGCCTGCCATGAAAGCA